TTAAACATGTCAAATCACATAAGTACATGAGTCGAAATATGTATATATATATACATATATATGCAAATTACGCAAACAATTCGTACGCATAACAAAGTATAACGTTTATTATATTTTTAAATGCATTTCACCCAACAAAAAATAAGCTGATAAGCAAATGAAGGTACCAGGCCTTGCCATATCCGAGGCTAGAAGAATTTGGTGCCCTTCATCAAACCCCCGTCGCCTGCTCTAGACAACTGCTCTTGGGGAGCGAAAGAGGAGCATTCATGATTTCGACTCCACTTGGCTCAAGATGTTGAGTCATGCTTACTGAGACCGGAAAATCGGTTCGTAAAGAGCTTGGGATAGGCCCTGGTCCATTTATCTGCTTCCGAGCCGTTCCGGTTCCGAGTCCTGCTTCTATGAATGCCTCATCCCCGGACAGGCTTCGACCTGTTGCCTTGTATCGTTTGAGCAGGCCTCCACTTTCGCATTCAGCGAGACGAGATTGGCAATGGGTTGAAATCGTCGTGGGGGCTTCCCTATCAGCCTGTACACGTCGTCGTTGTCTACCACGAAGTTTGCCTCCATCGTCTGATTCACTTTCACTATCTGACCCACGGTAGATTGGCCGAGGCAGTCTGACGCTGGCGGAACCGTGGCCCACAGACGTTACACGCTCCGTGCATGGATCAAACGAAAGGCCGACTGAGGAGATTCTAGGGGGAGGCGGTTGAGGCTGTGGATGATAAGTGTCAATATGGAAGTTTGACGGTTCCTTTTGGGAATCAAAGTGAGTTGAGTGCTGACGAACAATAGAATGCATTGGTGAAGAAGAGATCATCGGGATTTGACGAGGGTGCAACCTATTTGTTGTAGGTGTTCCAGGTCGGTTCCTAGGGCCCATGGTCCCGAAGTCTTTTGGCGGCGGTATGATGCTGCTATCACCAGTCAATGTCATTTCGCTGGACATCGATTGCAGGTTCCCATTGTTGCTTAATGAGTTTGTCATATTTAAATTGACAGAAGTGCCCATCACTCCACGAGATGATACACTCGCTAGCGAAGGATGTCTGTCGGACATCATTTGGATTAGAGGCTCATGACTATTAGATGGAGCAACGGAGGCAGAAGCATGACGTTGAAAGGTGCTGGATCCAGGCTGAAATGACTGGAGATGAAAAACGGGGTATAACTATGAATAACGAGGCGGTATAATATTAGGTCATGCCGTTATCTGCCTTAGCTTTCGTGACAGAAAGGCTATGTGAAATTCAATGAAAAACAGTAGTTCTACTCCTATCATTCTG